GTGTAGTTGTGTTCTGCAGGAATGCTGAGTATTCATGAAGGAACTGTTTCAAAGATGAATATTCGTATCAGATAAACAAAATATCATTGAAATCCGATGGTGGTAGATAAGAAAGAAATGTGGATATATAAAAACATTCACAGTCATGGCATTTTAAAAAAAAGTCAAAAGAGTTACGTGCATATGGCTGTTTTATATGCCAGCATTGCTAAGTATGTTTTTATCCAGTGAAAAACAGTAGTGGAAAACTGCAAGTGTCGTACTGTCGAACATCTCGATTTGATTGAGAGTAATAAAACGAGTATTTGTCTTAACCGTATACATATCTCCAAGGAAGATATTGCTTCCTTTATTTGATTTTATAATAAAGGATTTAAAACAAGATTCAAATTATTAGTCTTATATTTGAAAGTACTGTACTGATAAGTGTTTCTTCATGCCATAGTTCACCTAAAATCATTTAATTATAATAAAGTTTCAACATTATCGTAGCAGTTTTCAGCAGAAGCTACTTCTACAGACACTGGTACAGTTTCTAAAACATCTTTTGAGGATGGCTGCATTTTATGCAACTTTTAAAGTACACTAGGCAGTTGATAATCATTTATTTAATTGTACATTTTTTATAGCTTTTTGCCTCCTTATCATTGATAATAATTATATAAAGTTTGATACGGAGTGTACATGATTCTTCGCTAGGTAGCATGAGGCAATGTTTATGTTCAGCTTTTCAACACTTTAACAAATGAATTGATAAAAATAGTTCAACTAAATGAAAGGTTAAATAAAAGATTAAATGAACAATGACATTCTACTTAGCAATAAACACAGTAAATTGATGCACTAGGTAAATCTATATACACGACATAAATCAACTCATATGCCAGTGTAGCAATTTATTGATTTCTGTCAACTCTGAAGGATTAGATTTAGATTAATATATAAAAGTTTGAATAAAGTTATTTTTGGAGATTCCCTTGAACTTTTTTCATAATTGTACAAAACCGCAGTTACTTAACGCTATAACTCTTAACGTAGGTGACTGTCTATCGGGAATAACTTACTGAACTTAAATGCTCAAAATAATCAACTCTATTTGTAAGTGCTTTTTTACAGTTGTTATGGCGACTCTGATGCTGGAAATTATTTTCGACTCCATGTTTTACATAAAATTATCAAAGGGACATAAATAGCCGCATTATATTCCAGTGGGTACTTGACAAATTTACAAACTTATTCAGATTTGTAAAGATTTATCGGTCGAAACTCTTGACGGAGTTTCAGAATTGTGTTTTCATATCATTTTTAAATCCAAACCGTACGTGTCTTGAAAAAGATTGTCAAGGTGGATGAGGTATGAAAATCACAGCTTAACTGACTGTCATCTTCCTTTTTCAACTTCTCTGCTTCTAACCTCAGTATTGCTCAAACGGTGACTACCACCTACGAACAATGCTAAGACAAAATATTCGCTCAAAAAACGTCATATTTCTATAGCGAAATATACAATCTCTTATATTTTTGTACTTTCTATGGCTAATTCTCAGAGCACTGAAGTTGGATGATGAGGGCTGACATACAGTATATTGGGTCCTTGATATTTGGCGGAACCATGGGTGACATAATCTGAAAAAAAATCAGTCAGACATTTTGAATCTAAGATGATGTTTTTTAGCACTTAAAAAACTGTAAAATGATGTAACTTCTCGAGTGAAGTAATAAACGCATTCACCCATTATTAACCCTTAGATGTGACAGGTGCTAAATACACTCTGAACACACTGAGACTCGTGCTCAAAGAGTTCAGAAGACTTTACTCATTATTTGTAACTTAGCGTACAGCGATCCTCTTATCTGCATACATTAACTCAGCAATATGCTCTTTCAAAGCAAGGCAACTCAGGAGAAATTGAAGGAGCATGGCGTTATTTACACCAACACACCTATCAATAAGTTTATTGAGAACCATGTTTACGGACAGCCCTGGTGAATGACTTTGGTTGACGTAAATTCAGGATACAACTCTTTGTAGGCATTGGATATTCATGAACCCTAGGATCTTAGATACTATGCTTGTCAGATTAATTTACTTGTAGTTACCACACCATAACTGCTCATAAACCGAAATTTCAACGATCTGGATCATTCTAACTAAATCAATTCTCGTTTTCATGCAGTGTCCAGTACCTCTTTCACTCTAATTTATAACCGCCTACCTTCAGCCGTAAAATATTCTCGATGTAAGATGTCAAATCCTGTTGCTTTGCATTGTCTTAAGTTTGAGGTAGCTATGTACACTCTGAGAAGTTTTGGAAAACCCATATCGGCATTCTACGTTAAGTGAATAACTAAGTGAATAATCCGTACGTACAACTCATTGTGTTTGTACATATCTTAACAATCTAAAAAGTACAAATATGGTAAAAGGTCAGTTGAGTTTCATTTTAAAGTTTGGTTTGGTTTAAAAGTATTGCGTTAGCAACCTCGAACTGTTTATTGAGGAAAGATAGAATTATAACCAAAATTAAGTGGGTACATTTTCCGCTTGCTTTATGGGTATTAAAGAAGTATTTTGAAACACATAATATAACAGAACCAATAATAAATGAGTGTATATGTTCTGAGATATGCAAAATTAGCATCAAACTTAACTGACCTGTGAGAATAAAGTATCAACTGCTGTTAGCAGACCGGTTACAACAGCCAAACCAGCAACATTGAATACAGAATTGGCAAGACCAACGGTAGCCAACGCAGTTTTCCCAAGCTGTCCGCAAAAGATGAGACTCACAGGACCGGATAAAAATGCCACCACTGATGTAATTGTCTTAGGAAAGTAACAAGTTAATAAATTGTAATCCATGAGACTGCAGTAACAAGTATGCAATAAAGAACGACGTTTTATGCTTCGACTTATGACTGCACCAGTTAAATAATCTCGATAATAAGGCTTTTATTTTCTGAGCTGGTGAACACCTCATGACATAATCAAAACCATCAGCAGCTCTACATCATCACACTTAGTTTGCATGCATAATACAGTGGGTGTGACCATATACAGAATTCACAATTCCTAAGCATTCTGCGCATATAACCTCGTTTTCAACCAGCACATCACCCATAGCCCTAAAGATCTGAAACAATTTTATCACTTACTATCAGCCTATTTCTGTTCCCTAATATGTGTACCATTATACTTAAACCAGTGTTCTTCATATAACCTAACTTCGTTTACGGAAACCTACCTCCATACACACGAATAATCCTATAAACACAAACAAGAATACACATATTCTTTCACCCCTTCTTTGTGACAGTACATTTTATTAGATCTCTATATATTTACACAACTTGACTTGGGGTCTTTAAAAGACTATTATTACTTATTCTCTTCCAAATTCACACCCACATCCTACTAAACTTCCTTTCCCTTTTATTTATGGCAGGCTTAACTCATGGATCTTATTTTGGTGACCATAGTTGATTTTCCTCTTCTAATGTTACATGAACCTGTAACTACCTGTATAATTAGTTATTTTGAACTGAATTCCAGTAATATTTGTTTCTGATATTTCCTTCGACACAAGTCTTTTGAGGAGAAAATTTCCAAACTGTGTAGTAATGCCGATTGACTGTTACAAGAAATCTAACTGTCGTTAGCGCAATTCTCTTCTCGCACTAAACAGTACCCACATATGACTGGGTAATCTCAGTAAGAAGCTATTGAAAAGAATATTCTCCGTCCGTTCAATTATGTTCTGATTTTCAATGAGAATTTCAAGAAACATTATCGTAGCATCCATCAATTTAAAAACGACGCGTAAATTTATATAAACTATGATCAAGATTCGATCGTATAGCATAGCAAATATTGGGTGCTGAGTAAAAGGTTGACACTAGATATAGGTTGTATTTGTATAAGTCACAGTGGGTTTGAAATCAAATAAATCCAACTTTTCGCACGGAAGTATGGTCCGAGCTTCTTCAGGGAAATAATAAAAATTAAAATATCAAGGATATATAAATGAATTCAAAAAACGTGCATTTAATCTCCTTGTCCATTTTTCTTCTCATAGTCATTGTCTTTCTAAATTACGATAACTAATCACTCAGTGTGAAATTGTATGTACGTAAATGCATTGTGAGTCATATCAAAGATATTTAAATGAAAACTATACAAAAGAGTAAAGGATTACATTGGTGTAGTGTTTAAGTAATAATCAGGAGATGAATTAGTTTCATGAAAGGCAAAATTTAAGATTGTTTAGTGAAAAGCAAATCTAAGTAATATTAAAGTATAATTAATAAAAATGGACTAGACATGACATCTATCTTTATTTTAAACAGAAGTTTAGAAATCCAGTGAACCTATCTTCTATGCATATGAGACGAATATTTATCATTCAAAGGAGTTTTAACTACCTAAGTAGTGTTGACAGCATTTCATTGATGACAATACTAAGACAAATAAAAATGTCTCATAGGTGTCAACAGATTAAACTGGAAAGAAATACCTCAAAAAAGAGGAGTAAATACTATCTCACCAAGTATAGCAAATCAAAAGTATTCGTCTCGGAAACTCTTTCCTCAGAATCAACTTATTGAAAACATTAAGGAATGGAATGTTCCAAACTCAGATTTTTTATCAGCTGGGTTAAAATTTTCTAGTTTCAATTCTAATGATGACTACCGGTTTGTCTAAAACATTACGTAAGTATGCATAACTGTAGACGGTAAGGACACAATACTAGGAGACCGAAAAAAGAATGTTTCCAAATGTGACTTTATTGTGTGATTTAATATTTTCATTATTGCCTATTTAAATTCTCCGGCAAGCAATCTTTGAGGCGGCTTTGAACTTCTGTTCTCTATCTGCTTCAGTGCTTTTGGATTGGCTTCAAAAAAGACCTATAAGTTGCATTTAGAGAATGTATTTACTTTTAGTGATGAACATTATCTGTTTATACAGTTATACCTTTGGAATGATACAACAGCAACAGGTGAAAGTTGTCTTAGGGAGAAAAGAAAAACTTACAGTCTAGCTGCAAAATTATTCAGTGATTAGTAAAACGCTGGAATCTAATGTCAGATACTACAGTATCTGGACTTCTTAAACATTCAACATATTTCATCCGAAAAGTAGAAATCAAGGTCAAAACTCTGTCTAATCATATTTCAGCATGTGTCCTAGGTGTTTATACACTAGCAAATGAGCAAATTTTTCAAATTACATACGTGGATCACTGTAATTACTTACCTTTCTCTGCATATTGCGTTAATACTATACCTTTTTACTGGAAACAAGTGCTAGCAAACAACCTGGTTTGCAATCACTTATATCAGTTACTGATTTTTAAACGTGAAGTGACCAGCACTAATAATATACGAAAGAAGCCGTCTCTGTGATGAAAAATATGCAACTAAAAACCCAATCGATGGCAGTAATAGTTTTGTATTACTGCGAGGAAAGTGGAAAAACAGATTTTTAGATGGTTTGAAACAAGCAGACAGAAAATTAATAGTTTTAGTTCATGAGCCATTTAACTAATATTCATTTTAGACATCATCTTTAGTGAATATTTTGATTGGGATGTACGTAGAAATTTGACTGACGTGTCATTCAACAGTTTCTTATTTTCGATATCGCTAAGGTATTAGTAAATCTTTATTACATTCCTGATTAAATTGACTCATGGACACCTAAAGAACGTTCTACCCATCCAAAACAAACCACCTATACTAGTGAGCAAATACTTGGGTTTGATTCCTAATCTGCCTTTTTTGTCCTAGAAGCTTATATACCGTTATCTAGTTTGGTGAGTGCAAAACGCGAGCACTGTATCAAGGTTGTAAAATCCAACTTTCCATCAGTCTATGATATATGTTTTCTGTAGACCAAATAACGCGGTTTAAAGAGTCCATAAACTTATATACCTATTAGGCGTTTTTAGTTTTGATATGAGTGGTTGAATAACGTACGCAGAATTAAACTTTGTATTATTACCAGTGATTTCTTAAAAAGCGGTTATTGGAGATATGTTGTTTTGGTGTATGTTTCGATAAAAAACTGTAATGCGATGCATAACTCACTAACTTTAATAAGGTTGATTTCTAACTATTCATGCGTAGACTAAACACATAAAAAAAATACTGCCAGGGGTTAGTACTGGCTTTCTGATTAAAGTATGTCCTTGTCAAGAAGTTACACAGAAGAACCATTGAAAATCTGAGAGCAATGGATAGTTGCCTCATCCTGCTTTGACACTTCCGAGTTGGGCACATGCCGATGGAATAACAGTCTAATGCACACTTATGATTTATTTCCAAATAAATTCCCTAAACCTTTAGTCAGAGATGATAGTTGTTTGCCTAAACTAATCAAGTTATAACCCAAGTGCTTACTCACAATACTAGATGACTATTGCATCATATCACAAATTGACATAATTCACTAAAATTAAACCGCTATATTCAAACTAAGCGAACAAATCTTGATACACTCTCTACGATCTGTGAAAAATTAGAGCTCCGTCCCTGTATTACACGCATACAACACTGAGTGCCCTTAACTAGGATGCAGTCAATTTCAAACACTTCTAAATTGTTGACTGTTTTTCAATCGGTCTCTGTTCTAGGCTATATATTTACAGACATTTTAAATATAAGGTAATACACTCTGGTAACATTCAGCAATGACAAACTAGATAAAGCAATAAGATAAACTTACAATTGGTGTAGCCAGACAAACAAGTTTTTTAAACTCATAGTAAAATCCAAACGGGAAAAATCTTCCCAAAACACCGGTGTTGACAATTTCAGGTACTTCAATTTCTTGACAGTTGATTGTTGTCTCATTCCGTGGATCTGTAGGCAAAAGTCAGTGATACGAAATGAAAGGTAGATTATTTCACATATGCGTACATTGAAAAAATAAGCCAACCAACCATAATGATGACGAAGTGTGAAATTGTCAACTAAAAGAATACACAAAATTTACCTCGTGAAGTAGTTCGTTTCTCACTGTCAGCTGATTTCAACATATCGCAGTATGTAGTGACTGTCAGTTGACGCATATACCATTCTCATTTTAAATGGAGTAAATCATCAGTCTACCAATCACATGATTTCTAGCTTTGCACCATTCACTAAATCTTCTTTACGTGTATTTACTGACAAACAATAGTTTCTTCTACATGCTTCCACGTTTATAAAAATCATCTGAATTTAGGTTTATTAAGTAATTATCTAATATCGACAGATGTCAAAGTCAGACAGATATTTATGCACGCATACCCACATACAAAATTTAACCATACTTTATCTTGAGTATTGTGTAAAGAAAAGGATGCAAGAAGTAGCCTTATCCATCAACTTTATAGCAGCGAACAGTTATCATGACCCTGAAGTCAAAAAACATTTCAAAGAACCTGTTACTCTCTACTCCATATTATTGACCAGTACCATTGTTAATATATATATGCATATTTCAAATTATCGTAGAACAAGTGAACTTATTTAATATCACATGCTGAGAATTTTGTATCACAGTAAAGTGTCGTGATGAATAAAGCGAATGCATTATTATTGTTTGTTCATTTATTGTAATTCTTTAGACACTTTTTTGATGACTTGTGTTAATCTTCTAGCTATAATTACCTTGTGAAATTACTAACAATTTCTGATGACCTTGTATTGACCTATTAGTTACTGAAAGAAATATATTTGTTGTAATTCCAGTTACAATTGTACAGCTTCTGCAAATGATTCATCATAAAGAAAATTTTCTTCGGTAAATTGTCTCTTAATAAATATACTAGATAACAGAAACTTATTCAGTCAGCGTAAGTTTTGAAAAATCAATCTTTTGAGGCATCCATCCTTTCTTCTTGATAATAAAACACCCAGAAACAGTGTCTTGGAATGAGATTCAATTCCCATCATAATGACGTAGACTTTCTGAATATAATTGTCTATAGGCGAATGCGTCATACAAACTTAAAAATACTTGAACTCACTAAACGATTATCATTATTAGTCCTATGTTAGATTATTGACATATCAGTATTCTGCAAAGAAAAACTTATGAGGTGCTGGTCTACAAAGACCCACAACAATGGTCATGCGTGGATTACTTGAATTGACAACCAGTACCCCAGGTGATAAGTACACCCTTGACTTTCAACAATGGGAGTGGTTATCAGCTTGAATGGAGCTAGGCGGCGTTGTTCCCGAAATTATAATCGTGATGAATTGGCATTTAACCTAGAAAAATGACGGTCCATGTTTTTTCTGCACTCTTGATTCACGGAAGGTATCCTACCTCCTCTTTGGTTTGCATCTCTTTCATACCGCAGCAGAAAAAGACCTGGGTCTAATGGTGACGGAGAAACTGGGCACCAGTTCCAATTACCCAGGAGATGCCTCAAAAGCATACGGTGTACTGCGCTTCGCATGCAGCTAGATGCCTTGACCTCAGAGCTCTTTGTGAAACTCTACGAGACCTGCATACGACCCTACTTGGGGATCCATAAGGTCTTCGGTCCACCACACCTGAAAAGAGGCACGAAAATCCTTCAGAAGGTTCAGAGGTCAACCAGAAAGGGTGTTGTAGGGATCCACCAAAAATCATACAAGGGTAGACTAAAATGCCTAAGCCCTTACTGTCTTAGTTCCTGAAGATTACGAGGTGACTCGATGATGCCTTACAAAATACTGAATAACCCAAGTCGCTTGAACAGAGTAATGCCAATGAGTGGCCACCACGGTGATTCTCGCAGAAACCCTAAGAGAATCACACACCAAAGGTCAAAAACTTGTATGAGTTCACACTTATCCCTTCGAGTCTGCAGGTACTGGAATGCGTTACCAGCAGAGGTAGTCTCCGCCGTCTGTTAAAAGTTTCAAGAAAATGCTAGAGAGTTATGCAGTGATCCACGGTTTACGCTTATTTAGTTGGAATATGAACTGCTGTCACACCATTTCAACTCTGTTACCTCTACACCAGTTTTTTCCCTAATCTAATCATTCCATCCTTCTCACTCATTATGAATCAGCCTCATCCACCTAAGTTCTACGTATCTTTGCACCCCTCTCGTCTTACTTGGGAGTAAGTAGACTACTCCGTCAATTCACCATTTTTGTCTTTTACTCATACACATTTGTCTTCATAGGATATCTCTTCAATATCTTCGACTCATTCTATTGACCAGTCGGAACAGCCGTCTGGCAACTTGACATCTGAAGAACCCAACTGCACTACAGTCCCTAACAAACTAACCAACACTCAACCTCCTGTTCTGTATACCAGAACTATAGCAGACGAGTGCCTTGATCAACTGCATCAGAATCCGCCAAACACCAGGAACTGTTCCGTAAGACCAAGAAACGAGCACAAAGAAACCTACTGGTTTACACAACCTCGTTAAATAAATATTGAACACTGGATCTTCTATATAAAAGTGTTACTGAAAAATCCCAATATTATGTATCTTCAGATAACGGTTTATATTTCACTACACACCAGAGGTAATTCCCATCTACAGGATGGTTTAATGTGACCTGTTCATTATTGATGATGGTGGGAAATGAAGCCTTTTGTGAAGTAGTAACTGATTGTCAATACAATAATGCTTCTATTGGCATTAAAATTACCTGGTGATTGGATAGCTGAAGCACCTTTGTCATTTCAGTTGAGTACGTGTTTCTGCAACCACTTGTTCAGAAGTTATCACTTATTGCATAGATGTATAAATATCCTTAGTTAAAAATAAAACCCTATTGTTCGTCATCAGTTCACTTTGAAAGGTTACCCTGATGACGCTGATTTTGTCTGACACCAAAATATTTGCATTCTAAAGAAAAACTGGACTGACAGTGCAGTTTAGGTATTCAAATTCTTATCTACACACATATAACATTGTGCATAGGTGTAGCAGTCTGAATTATTTCCCAGTGTTCGTCGATACAGTAATATGAATGAACAGCACATTAAGTTCTGTAACGATAATGCCATCTTTGGATGTGATATTAAGTATTGTACACTAACAGAAGTCATCTTATCGTCAGTAGGTTTGTAAATTATTCACCAAGATCAGTTGTTCAATTGGTTGATGATCATTTTTAGACTGAGTTTTAATGTCTTACTGTGTAGATTACTACACTTTTGGATCTGATCATTTGTTATTTTACTCGATTAACGTTGTTGAACGGTTTCATGCTACTGCACACAAGAAAAACATTTCCCTCTACTGTTAACTGATTGTTTTACTTTGACAAAGGTCAAGGATTTGGAATAAACTTGAACTTATATACTAGATGAAATTAAGGATTCACTTAGGAGGCTTGTGGACATTTTATTGTTTTCAAGTTAGTATTCATCAGTTGGAGAACTACTGAAAACCTGAAAGAACTAGTTACTTAACTGACATCAACACCAACCTAAAGTTAAGAATAGGTCACCTTCTTAAGGCGAGAATCTTAGCATAGAACCAGTTCCGTTTATTCCAGATAATTTAATACACATTTCATTCAGGGCATTTGAAATTAACTTGTTTTATCAAAATTATTATCCGCCTCATTCAACAACTATATGAAGATGCCACATGCCAAGTAATCCACAATGGGAAGCTCAGTGATGCCTTTGAAGTGAAGACAGGAGTGAAACAAGGTTGCCTACTATCCCCCATGATATTCCTAATTGTGGTGGACTGGATCATGCAGCAAACAGTAGGCAGCGAGAAGAGGGGGATACACTGGACGACGGAAAAGAACCTAGAAGATTTGGATTTCGCCGATGACTTATGCCTAATGTCACATAAACTTGAAGATCTGCAGGCAAAAACTAACAAGTTGATAGAAGAGGCAGCGAAGACGGGACTTCAGGTGAATATAGAGAAGACAGAAGTGATGAAGATACCGCACCACCACCATCAACAACAACAAACTCCAATCACTGTCAACGGGAGAAACTTAAAGGAAGTAACCTCCTTCACTTATCTAGGAAGCACTGTTTCAACTACAGGCGGGACGGACGAGGACGTCAAAGTCAGAATCGGAAAAGCAAGACAGGCATTCATTAGCCTGAAACCAGTGTGGAGATCTTCTGCACTGCACTCAGCATGCGGAACAAGATACGGATTTTCAACACCAACGTCAACTCAGTGCTCCTGTATGGCTCAGAGACTTGGCGCGTCACGAAAGGTATTTCCAATAAACTACAGACATTCATCAACAACTGCTTACGCTCGCTGCTGAAGATCAGATGGCCTGAAAAAATAAGCAACAAGGAACTCTGGGAACGAACCAACCAAGAACCTATCACGCAACAAATATGCAGGAGGAAGTGGAGATGGATTGGCCATGCACTGAGAAGGCCGACTGAGGACATCACGCGTCAGGCCCTCGAGTGGAATGCCCATGGGAAGCGACGAGTTGGACGTCCGAGGGTGACATGGAGGAGGTCGTGCGAGCAGGAAATGAGAGCTTCTGGGCTGTCGTGGGACCAGGTTCAAAAGATCTCAGAGAACAGAGGTCACTGGAGGCGTGCTACTGAAGCCGTATGTTCCACTAGGAACCCAAGGGACTAATAATAAATAATATAATAATAATCAAAATTATTGAAATGAATTATGGTGAGATTGAAGGAAGCAGCTAGTAAACAAGTAAGTTTTCCTAAAAATCCTACTACTACTTGGATTCACTTACGCTGGGATTCCTAAGATCACTAACTACATGGTCACCTAGCAATATTCATTTAATTATTAACAAAAATATCTCATCCGAACCCAATATAAACTTGAGTGCAATATATTTCACAAGATGCATAATGAAATATAGTGCTACGTTAATTTAGTACTCATTTCATTTTGAATATCAATTACAGCTTTGTTCCATTTATGCCAGTTATCATTAATACTGGCTTTAAATGTCAACGAAAATAAGGATGACCAATTCTATCTTACTCAAAATCTTATAGCTCAAAATGTTTCGCCTGTTTGATTATATAGATAGTTGTTACAATACTGTTCACTGCTATTTTTGTGATGAAATCGGAAAGTACTTGGGATAATTCGTTGTAAGAATGTCTTCTAGTATATTTAATGAGTCTACAACATTTCAAAAGTTGACTGTTTGATTGTTAGCATCTAAAAGACTGACAGAAATTTCACTTTAGATGGTACACTTAAGTTATTAATTTTGTACTGTCGGTAAATCGTGCATGCACATACACTCTTCATGACTTCATACATAAGTTGTATGTGAAACAGCCTAATTTACAGAACTCACTGTACGCCGACCAAACACTTTTTAAAAGATTAAGACAGCTTTCTACTTAAACCTTCAGTGCATGATCATAAAATTTGAAATGTAAACCTCAGAATATAATTTATGTCATCCATTGAATTTGATTTTAAGGCTCAGTACTTTGTAGTGAAACAATGAATATCTTTTCATTATTTCATAACTTTATTCATGTAGTTTTAACTTTGAAACATATGTATTCTCAGATTATACTTGAAGTTCTAGATTTTAGAGTTTGTCAGTGTTAAACGTGCCTAGATTTTCGTAAAGCACTGATGTCAAACATTCGATCGTATTGTTTGATCATTCAGTGATTTCGATAAGTATTTGTGAAAATCGTCTGGCTGAACTACACGACAAACGTATTTCAAGTTTAAAAAATTAACTCTGCTTTAGATTATATCGCAATAGTAAATATTTAGTTCACAAGTATTCTCGTTTACCGTGCAGAGTTTTATGAATAATTTCAATTTAATTAAAGCTACCAGAACTTGCGTGCTTAAAACCACGTGTCAGCACACAACTTTTAGTCTGCAGTGGGTTTTTGACGTGCAAAATGGAGTGCAAGTCAGTAATTGTTTGTTTGAATGTTATAGTTAGTGAACCGATGAAAAAAAATTTAAACATTAGAAAGTGCAAAGTGGAAGTAAGATATCGGAAATGTGAGTTGTAGAAGTCATTCATCAATGATTTATTGATGCGTATTCAGGATCTTTAGTTTCACGCCTGCATTATTTTAAAAAACAAAGAAAATATAAGTCACCCTTGTAGGGGAATCTAAACAAGTTTATATTATCGAACTATAAGATTACATATTCTTAAAATGTTAAAACGTCTCCCGACTAATTTTATGCTTCGCATTGCGAAAAACTTAGGATACTCTTGTTTCCATCTTCTAAACTGCAGGCAACCATACATATCAGAATGCACGTTTTAAGTTATAAGTTTTATGCCTATGACTGGTAATCAGCACTTTTCATCATCTCAACAAAATCACATTGTAAACTAGTGAAGTTTTTAAAATACTACTAACATGACAAGGTGGCCTGCTTAAATCTTGGGCTACCGAAAATTTTTCACAGATTATGTTCCAACAAATTCTTTCCTTTTAGTTTGTTTTGATCTTCTAAATGTCTTCTGAATGTATCGTGCACTCTAGCATGTTTTTAAAATGCTTTCGAACTTTCGTTTTTCAAGCTAAGAGTAAAACAAAGGAAAACGTTCCACTAGATGGAAATGGATTTGTAAGGGCCTAAAAATACACCACATTAGTATTACTTGGATACTTATTCGTAATTGTGAATTTCTGTACTGACTGGCTGAACTACGACCATCAAAATTACACTCGATTTCGCCCTGATTTCCGAATAGAAAACAGATGGTAATGTAACACTAAATGACCGCTTCACACCTATGCCTTCAATGCTGTTATTATTAACGCTATGCAGACGTTATAATTATTTGTTTTAAAAATATTATATAGAAAGCAAATATGTTGAAATATTCCATACTCAAAATCCCATACTGCATCACACATGTTGTTTGGAATTATTATTATATAAGTCTACTTTTCAAAGTTTACCACCATTCAATGTAGTGTCAGAGGTTCAAAAATATCAATTTTCATACTTTAAGAGCAAAAAATTATCATTTTAATAGCAAATCCGTTCATGTTTTTCCAGAATACACTGGTTATATTCAAGTATGCTTGCTACTCAGCTAGAAAATAACCAATGGTTTTACAACACTTAAAAATGCGGTGAAATGTTGCTAATCAACTTCATAAATATTCCCTTAAAAATATGCTAATCACTCCTGACCAAAATCAATCGACAAATATCATTTATCAGGTAAGTACAACAACTCATAAAGATCTAGGATTCCGTTCACTTCATATTTCTCCCAGATGACCAGCAGTACCGTGTTGATGCTACCTACCCTATGGGAAAGTGGGCCAGAAAAGATTGGCTTCAACCTATTACTTGCTCTTCTGGTACTAAAGGAATAAAATCTTTATTTTTTAGAGTTAAAACAACCGAATCTTTATCTAGTAGTCCTAAAAAGGTGAATTTGGCCTGCTCAATGCAGTTACCCAGCTGTCACACACTATAATTAAAGAGCCCAGTTTCTTTTTCAGGCTTCTCAAAAAAAATAATAATAACTTTCCACAGTTTAGGCACTTTATGAGTCTAAACTTTCCTTACAAATCTATCACCATTCGATTTTCTTCTGACTCCGTCTCGAATTGAAAATTTTATTTCAGGCTTACAACGTTGTAAACATGAAGGTAAAGGATATTTTTTGAAACAACTGTTGAAGTCTCTGAATATACTGTCCTCTTTGAGCGTGGAATAAAAAAGGTGTTTCCTGAGTCTTATAATTCAAACAGGTAGCAATAATTGATTATGAAAATTCAGTTAAAATAGTAGTTGTAGTATGAACAGTGTACATATATGTCATGTTTAACTTACATGTGATATCTACAGAATCACCGCTTGTAGATGCCATGGGTTCACAATCAGCATTTATTTCTCGATATTTTCCCTTGTTATTCTGTCTTCTTTGCTCATTTCTAAAATTTCTATTCACGGTAACATCGTCATCCTCTATGTTACTACTTATACTTTGTCCATAATAGTTGTGTTTAACATAAACATTTCCTAACAAAGCACATTCTTCTGATTGGGGACCAGGATGGGTGAAAGACATATTATTTGAAGTGATTGGGCGATATGGATAATAACGGTGGTAATAACACTGCAGTATACACAAATAGCACAAATGTTTACTACCTTGTAATGCTGTGATTGTAAGCTGGAATATACTTGTGTGTGTGAATGGGTAGCTGCAAACGTTCAGGTGATTAATATATGCTAATCAATATTTAAGTGACACAAAGGTAGCTGTATTCTCTCATGGGAAATATTTATTGAAAGGGATTAAGATTTACAGCCTTATTTGAAAGGATTCCCTAATAAATGACAAATATTTCTGTCTGTATGGTTAAATATTATTCTTGCGTAATATCCACCCACACCATAGCACTCACTATGATCAATAGTAAAATGGTACACACTTTGTAACCAATGCATAATGTTTTTAAGATTATTTTAGTGCACAAGTGAGCAGAAATATTTCGTCCACAATTAGGTTGGTTGGATATTTGGTTTTAATATTGAGTTGTAAATGTATAAGACCCATAATCTTATCAAATCTTGTACAATGATGACCCTAAAACACTTAATGGATAATGGTCAATATAACTTGCATTTTTCGGCAAAACTAATGCATCAGTTCATCCACCTGTGATAAAAAGCCTATCGATAATCTACACGTTGAATATGGCAGCGATCTTTTCACGCAAACCGGGTGGTCTGTAAAAACATGTATAATAACTAAATCTAGTTTTGCTAGTAAGCTATTAAACAGTAGTATGCAAATACGTTGGAGAACGGATACTTGTGTAGGAAAGGTTTTTTAAAAGTCAATTTCTTTGAAGCAGTTTTATTTCCTGAGTTTGATTTTCACTGGAATTTAACGTCATCTTGAGTTGAAAAGAATTGGTAGTTATAGAATATAATCACAGTACTAAATAGCTGAAATGGTAAATGCCTTAACCTTATTTAAATACCTATTTCCATCAAAAAGTTTATAAACTCAAGGGTGACTATTTGACTGTACTAATTGGTATGCCCACCTTACAGACTGCTGGCGGAGCGGCTGAAAACTAAACATAACGACTTAGGTGTGTTAGCTTCATCATTATTCCTCCAAATATTCTATCCAATCTCACATAAGTATTTTTATTTGTTTATTACCTTTATTCTCTTTCTCTTCTTCAGACACAGTGAAGGCTAGCAGATCAAAATAACCCATGTCTTTACAAACCTCGCTACTCATCTGTTTTTATGATGGTGAAAATTCATTTGCAAAGCACCTTAAGGGAGGGTTCGCTTTTTGTCTTCAAGTTTCTCTTTTTTAGATCATGTTACAGAATAAACACATCAACATAAAGTGAGTGGCGTATAGAGTGACATTCATCGCAGTGGTTAGAGTACATCTTTCTTATTCTTTGATTTTCCCACAACTTTTGTTTTATAGGAATAAAGTTGCTTAGTAAAGGTTTTAAAACTGCTGAATTCAGGTTTGTATCCTTTACTTCGTCCTGTGCTTCTGTCACGCCGGGAAAATTAATTTAGAGTGCTCTTAGAGTTATCAAGTAGGGTGTCCTAGTCTTTATTTATTCTGAGTAATCCGTATGCTTTATTTCGTTAACCTCAAGATGCAATATCTCATGCAGGCGAAACAAAATACATTCTATGGAAAAATGCGGGAGAAAATAATTGAATCATCTCAAAGTAGATGTGTCAATTGAAAACCCTTCGTTGAAATTTATTTTTGATGATTAAAGTTTTCCTCGGAATTGATTTGTCTGGTTAATGGGTCCAAAGAGTATTGTGATAGTACAATGAGGGAATTTTTTTGTATTTGTAGGTGTCACTCCCAAAAGATATAAGCTTAGCAATTTACTTTGAAGAATATTTAGTTCCAGTTGGAAGTGAATGCTATTCTGTTATCCGTAGCAATGTGCACTACAGTTACTAAAAGTTGCACGATGTTTTTCACTAACCTACCTGTTATTGCAAATCGTAAGATACTAGTGTCACTAACCGGATACTAACTGGTCTAAGAAAATTAAGATTTCCATATTAGATATAAGAATACGACTGTTGACTTCCTAAGCTCTTTTTTTATTCATTAATGAGTTCAACTGGCTTTTTGGCTTATTAAACGTTTTGTAGCTATACATTTTCAAAAAGTATAGCAATAAGCCAGACTCACTTTCCTTCAACATATCTCCATCATCTTATATTTAAAAGTGTGCTTTCCAATCGGAATGCGTTACAAAATATTAAATTCTAAGCTTTCTCGAAAATATCTCAATCCAGTGATAACTAACTTATTCAGAATATATTGTTTGGAGCCTATGCATCCCAGTCACCTATCCAAAGTTAAAAACTACGAAACAAGGAGCGATTTCTTTAAAATGGAAATTTATTATCAATTACATGAAAAGACAAAGAAAAACGGTAATTGTCTTAAATAGAAACGCTACCTATGGTTGCATTATGATTTAAACTTGATTAAATGTGTAAATTCGCTTCTAATTCCTTTCTTCAAAATTTTATAGCCTGTCAACCGGTCATAATGCAAACACAAGTTATCACGAGGGTGCAGTTACCTCTGGCTAACGGGTCCTAAGAAAATGAGATGAACATCCTAATCTTAATTAGTAGCCACCACCAACCAAACTACATAATATGATACGCTGATTATTCACTGGATAGTACCCAATTTTATGCTGTCTAGTTCTAATTACCAAAAGAATTCCATGGACCACTTTTGTAATATGGTCACTGAGCATCTTGGTGAAACTTGATTGATGATGGACGATTTCAGGAGATCGGTAAGAATCTCTGGATTTACGTTTCGTCTTTTCAGCCCTCATAAGTCGTGACCCGAATGGCTCATTGGTAACGTTTCCGACTGTAGTATCGGGTGACGTGTCTAAAATCTCAGAAGCAACGTCACTTCACTTAACAGGATAGATTTGATTTGCTGACAAATACCAACAATCAGGAAACCTAGATCCATGATTACCAGTCGACTGCTTCCAACCACCTAACAAACATCATATGACTTTATTACGGCTCAAGTTAGCCTTCCTCAATGAATAGTGCAGAAAGGTGGAGTAAAATACTAAGATTTCAAACGGTTGTTCCTTGTGTACTGGTTACATAAGGCGTACGATTAGGCAGGTGCATCTTAGGATACGAGAGCATTTACCAGCTTCGTACGGAAACAGCGAAGTGAAAATGGTGAAAACTTCAGTCTTAGCATATCTAGTCAACACAAGGCATCACATAGACGCCAATAAACCTTTCAGTGTCATTCATCGTGTTCCGAAAACGACACCATGTGTACCTCGCCAACCCCTGCTCAACATAGCAGAGGCTATCGTAATAAGGTTGATCAGGCCTGAACTCTGCATTCACAAAGAACATGTCCAAGCGTTACTTCTCCCTTGGCCTTCAGATAACTAAAGGCCATCCCTGCCATCTTATTCGTTATCTTTTGTTCATCATCATATCATTCTTCTCTATAGGTATCATCTTAATATTGATTAATTTAAAAGTGACAAATCGATTGCCCACCTATAATATGGCTTGTTTTGACGCTGAACAAGTGCATTTTATGATTATAGAACCTCAAGAGAACTTATTGAAAAGAATTTTCTTCGTCCAGATTTTCGCTTTTTATAAAATACTAAGGTTGTGAAAAAAGAACTGCATTTTCGATGAAACTGCATACTTTAGTTCTACAAAAGATTTTGATATCAATTATGTGATTTATTCATTCATGTCTGAAGCACACTTTTCACTACTTCGGACAACTGCGTTGGCACTTGCTTATTGAACTCTGACATGCTGACTTGCATTTAAACTCGTCTTGGTTACGAAGACACTTCTGTTTGCAAACCTCTCCAACTGACCAGCATTTATCCATACAAGTAATCCTTCGTGGCTGCATTTCACCAGTAATTGGCCAAGTAATAACCATGATTATGGTGAAAACAGAAACAGCCTGTTAACATATGAAAAACCGGTGAAAAAGTTCAAATGACAACGAAAAGGGATCAAGTACATGCTGTTACCTTTTATGAATTAGAGACCGTGACAAGATGTACCAAGAAAATCATAGGACAGCTGCAGGAACAGATGAATGCAATAGAAAGAGAAGGAAGTAGAAAAGAACAGGAGCAAAATAAATTCGGTAGCAAAAGAAGCAAAACGTTGCAACAAGTCGCAGAGACCTAATGTTTATTGGAGGGACGTTTTTCAAGGCTGCAAAACATCTTTCTGAAGTTTGTGCTAATGATGTTGTCTAGAATGACAGTGAAACCTTCACGACTAAACCATCCGGCTCAGAGAATACAACACCATCAAAATCGTCCTCCTGAGTTACGAATATTCTCCATTATTTAAAAAGTGACACTTTTTGATATCACTCATATTATCCGTAGGTAACTGCAATATGGTCTGACTGAGTTTAAGCTAAACCAAAAGAGGAAGAACATGAAACAATATCCATAGATATTTTAAAGATTGTGCTATATGGAGGTGGATTTTTGTCCTCATACTGCTGTAAAAGATCCCAGTCATCCGATCTTCAACCCCCTATTATCTGTTTGCCACTTAAGTAACCCTCTTGTGAGTTTAGATGCCAAACCTGAGGATTCAAGTCACTGGCTAGCTCAGTCATATCGGACGAACAGGTTTGTCTGAGAAGTTCACTGTTATCAGTAGGACTCGTCCGTAACTACCTCTGAGCTGCAGTCAGTCAAAGCGTAGACAGATGATCAAACAAATCATTTCACTTCCTATTTATTCCTTCATCTTGTCAAACCTTCCACCGTAAACAAGACTCTTAATTAGGACCTCGTTGATCAATACCACCTCAGCCTTAACAAAACGCTGACACTTGAAAGATTGGCTGCTGAGGTGTGTAGCAAGTGCAACCTGACAATTAGAGATTTTATCCAAATCAATTCACTGGGTTGTTGTACGTAGGTTCTGAAATGCAGCACACATCAGTGGAAGAGCTTCCTAAACTCCCAGTCAAACATTTCCATCTTTATAAGTGCATCAAGGTCTGAATAAAGAAAGAAACTGGCTTAAAAAGGTATGCTTTGCTTCACAAGAGTTAAAGTCAAGTATCACAAAATGAAAAAGTTTATGAAAGCAACAGACCAGTATTCCG